TTGGATTATCAAATATGAATAAATCAGAGACAACAGTAAATTCCCAAACTGTATCATTGAATGGAGAAGAAATCAATCTTAATTTGTTCTAAGTTATTTTCTAATCGGCTCCTCAGTACAAATTCAGTACGACGTCAAAAATCGTAGATTTTTAAATGAAATATCTCGGTCAATGTTTGTCGTACGGGAATCAAGCTTTTGCGTTTTATTTTTTGTAACGTGTACAAATAATAATTTTTTTTTCTGAATATAAATATAGAGATCGGAGGAACTTATAAAAAGTTAGATTTCGTAATATTTATAAAATTGATGCCTTTAAATTTAAAAATGTCAAAACATGAATCTTTGCGTCACTTAAAACATTTTTGTAATCGGAAGTATGTAATTATAAGTACACATTTTTGTAATCTGAAGTATAAGCCTACGAACAACGGTTGCCAACAAAGGCAGTGTAAGGACATTTGTGGACACAGCGTATATCTGTTGTTCAAAATTATTTTTACACTGTTTTATACCTTATCACCATACTATATCCTAACATGTGAACATATAATTAATTATTCTGTAACAGCTATCAGACTTTCTTGAGTTGTCGTTCTGATCGTTGATTCCGTTTTCGTTATAAATACATTCCACTGTTTCCACTGTTTTTCATCAAATTTTTTATGAAGGTAAACCTTTCGATCAGGTATTTTAGATATTCTAATGTTCCCTTTCAGCGGTTACGTGTTGTTCCCACAGGGCTGCCAAGATGTGAGGGGCAACAGCGGAAACAACATGTACAAAGCCAGGTGCGACAATTTTTCTGAATCTGCCAGTTTCCTATCGATTTGTCTATCAACTGCATCTGCCATTAGTGTTACATATCCTGGAATTTGATAACTGTCTCAAAACGACGTTTTCGGGATGTTTTATCCCGCTTTTTGCAGGATTAGCTATTAGCAATCCTGATATAAAATTTTTGGAACGTTCCGTTTATCCTAGTTTCCATTCTTAGAAGAAACTTTGTAAGATGGAATAGGAAACGAAACATATTTTTTCCCTGACTTTTAGTTCAAAAACTGTTTGCACCCCAAATTTCGCTCTCCTTGAAAATGACTTTTTCCATGTCTCTATCTGTCCTACTGTTGCAAGAATGTTGATTTTTCTTGTGGATTGTTGGTGGCCTGACTCCATCTGGTAATTTTACGACAATTTTACGACCATTTTGTCCTTGCGCGAATATTTTGTCGATAGTTCCCATTGGACTGGAATTTGGAGGGGGTCCCATATTCAGGTGAAGTATAATTTGAATTGCATATCATGGTTTACGCGCATGTCACTTCTGTTTCTTGTTTGGTAATATTGCATATGTATACATTAATTTTAAGTCCTAAGGATATAATATGTAACAATTATATAATATACAACAATTATATAATAAGTAACAATATTCCACATAGCGCGGGAGTATGCCCGAGATATTCCAGGGGTAATAAGAAAATATTTCAAGAAAACTCCATAATCTTTCATTCATATACTAAAAAGTATATTCCCAGAAATCCACGTTCTTTATTATTCCAGCAACATTCAAGCTATTGACTGTTGATGGAGGGCGAAGGACACCGCCTTTTCATTATAGGTTCACCAACGTTCGCCATTATTCGAGAGAAAGCGTCCCTGTAGGAGCAAGCATCTGTAGTAGCGGAGCAAAAATAACACCTTCTACATACAACAGGAGAGAAACACGCTAAAGTGAAACATAAAATTAGATGGATAAAGCAGCAACCTTCTGTTTGCCGTAGATTTAGTCAATAATAGTTACAAGTTAGACAGTCACAAGGCCTGAACCAACGCCTTTTAGATAGCTACAGGTGTCTTTCAGACGGTGTTGGCAAAGAACATTGGATTTCTGCAATCGTATTTCCGTTGTTCATCTGGCAGCAGGCAGCTACAACACTGCAGGTTATGTGTACATACTGAATGTTATAAAGATTATACACAGAATAATATATATAGTCTGGTGCTCTTTGGTAGCATAAACTGGTATCCAAACTAACAGACTTGAAGCGAATTATCGGTTGTCCAAAGATAACGACAAAGACTTCAGAAGGTTACAAACCATTTTATTAAATCGGAACTTTGAACATAAACTGCACGTCTGCTGCTTTCAGTACAACCACCATTTGTGTCAATGTAACTTAAAGTAATAGTAAATTTCAAATTTAAAACTTAGACTAGTAGCCAAGTTACACAACTGATTTAATTCGAAGTTGGCTTAAACTTCTAACCGGCGTAAAAATTTAAATGTTGTTAACTATAATGCAAAGTCTAAGAATACAATCTTATATGAGCTAACAGAAACATAGTAACGTGGTCTCGAAAGGTAGAAACACACTCTGTCTTACAATTCAAAAACTTCACCTCAAGTATTCTTAAACCTGATTTGCATTCTGATAGAGAAACGGAAAGAAGTGACAGTAAAAACCTCATGATGTGGAATTTCTGAAAAATTAATAGACAGATTTTAATGATATTTGGTATGAATATACATTTATAACACAGAAAAAAGTCATCATAATCAGCAAAGCTCATAGAACATAGGTATCTGAAATTCCGTTGAGATATCGAACTGAAAAGTAGCGTAACATTGGGTATGGCCCACCTCTCAAAGCCAGACAGGTCGCGCAGCATGACGACGTACTGGATATGAATGGCATTACGTGTACACAATTGATATATAGATGTATTAGAAAATTGACACATTTAGTTCTTAATTATTTATAAACTAGTATGGAACAAATGTAGAAAAGTTCTTGATTATTCATGAACTAGTATGAAACGAATGTAGAGGGTTCATATTCAAAATATGAAGCTTATGTTTATATGTCCATGAGGTCAAGTCACATCAGTTCATATGTATTTTGTGATTTAGAAATTCTTTGATACTATATATAAAATATCCATTAGCATTTTATCCATGTAGTAAGAACTATTATGATATAAAATAAATTTCTGTGCCCTGAATTATTCATTACGCAGTGTAACATTGCTCATTTTCGTTCTGAGAGAGCATATCCATTATCTTGTAGATTTTCTGTATTAAATGCTGTTTTCTTAATTAAAGCTCTGCTGAATGCTAGCTGATTCTTGTTTAGAAACTTTACACGCAGCCCTACTGTTATTTGACAATTTATTAAGTCATGCTTCGGGATTTCTTGCTCGCCATGATACGTAACGATCAGTGTTTGAAATTCCAAATCTATAGGAATAATCTATGTCAGTTGATGGCGAGTATTAATTGTGGATTGGAGATCTTTTGGTGTGTATTTACTTAGATAATTAGGTTATAACCAGAAAAAAAAATCTTTTCTTATGCCAAATATCTACAGATTTTTTAACTGCTATATAACCCCCCCTCACACACAGAATTATCCCAACGTTTTTGAGGATTGGTATGCTTTCTAAGAATATACGAAAGATTTTTTTAAACTGTGTTGGAGGATGTTTTAGCAATGTATACCTGAAATACTTTTGGCATATCCTTTCCAGTAGAAAATATTGCAATGTATAATTTTGTTAAATTTCTTATTAGCACTAATTTTAGAGAATAAAAGATGAATTTATTTTTTCTTTAGTGTACTTGTTGATAATAGTAAGACAGGTGTCCTGATTTGCTGGACAGACTTAAGACGAATGTCCCGATTTGTCGGTCAAACTTGAGATATGTCTAGATTTCACATTCATATTTAAGACAAATCTCCGTTTATTAGTCGACTTAAGACACTTGTCCCGGTCGTCAATCGACTTAATATCCAGTCTTAAGTCAGATATCCTGATTTGCTACTTGATTTAAAACAAAGGTCGCGGTTTGTCAGCCAGTCTTAAGACAGCTGTCTCGGTTTTTCAGTCGACTTAAGACAGAAGTTCAAGTTTGTTATGTGGGGTTCCAATCTTTTCTCTAACAGCTAAGTGTGTGGAACCCGTGAACTGGTAAGCGAATAACCGCTTTAGCTCAGGAACAGGGATGTAAACTCAAGAAGGGTTAATTACTCTTTATTTCTCAAAAAAAAAAAAAAAAAAAAAAAAAAAAAAAAGACTGTAACAGTTGGCTCCTTTCTCAGAAGGCTCACAGAAGGTACAGAAAAGCCTCCACTTGGGCTTGAACCCAAGAGTACTAAGAAATAAAGCTTAACTAATGCTTAACTAAAAAGATATAACTGAAGCTATTAAAATTCTAAGTAGTTGGCCCCTAAATATCAACTAAACTGGCGAAGCTATCAAGGGCCTGAAATACGGCCGAGTGTAGTAATAACTTAGAGAGAGCAAATCCAAATCCAAATGGCAAACGCGCGCTAGTCAGAATCTCTGGCTCTCTAACGAAGTCAGGCCATACACTGCTCGACTTAATTACCGCTCTTATCAATTTGTATTAGCCGAGATTCTGAAAACACATTCTGGTAACAAATTGTAAGCTGAAATTAGGAGGAAAAGGAAATTAGCTTTAACAAAAGATAACTGTTAAAAACGTAGGATAAACCTTACAGTTATATGTAAGGTATATTTTTAATTTTATAACAGCTATTTTATTTGAATTCTGCTTTCCTAATGTTCCTTGTTTCAACTTACAACTCCTACCCGAAGGAGATTTTAGTATCGCGTTAAATGCAAATGAGAAGGAGAATAGCATTTAAATCAAGTTTAACAGACTTCGGCAGAGAGAATTAGTATTCCTGAATAGCGCGCGTTTACCTTTACGTTACAGCGCGTTTACAGCGCGTTACACTGGACCGTATTATTACGTGCCTTTTGATAATTCGCTAGCTAATTTAGTGTTACGGCTAACTTAGGCCAACTAATTTAGAACACTAGTTTTCTCTTAACTTTGTTTAACAGAAAGTGAGCAACTCTATAAACAAATGTCCCAGTTTATGAGTGGCTTTGAGACAGATGTCCCATTTCATCAGTTAGAAAAAATAACAACCTTGATCTGGTATCAAATAGGACGTTAATGATGTTACCTGTGCTGCTAAAGCTGTACTGTATATGCTGCCGAAACTTCCGTCGGAATTCTGTCGTTGCAGAAGTTGAGATATCGCTTCCCTGACATAGGCGTCCAAAGGATTTCCGTTGGATTGCGTCAAGGCGTGTTGGTGACTATAGCAAGCCAGTGCTGTAGCGGCGAGACTTTGCATGTCTATTACAATATAGTACATGATATTAACAAGAAGCAATGAAAGTGAGAATAAAAATACTGTGAAAACTTCAAATTACAGTGGGATAATTTCTGAAAGAATTTTAACGGTGTAGTGTTTCTCCCTTTTATCTATTAACTAAGTGTGGAGGAACCTAGTGAGCTGCTAAACCAATAATCGCTAAAGTCCAGAAATAAAAACGTAAAACTCACGAGGGGTTAATTACCTTTATTGCTCAAACTAAAGGTGTACAGTCGGTCACTTTCTCAGGACGTACAACAAAGCCTCTACTTGGGCTTAGAAACATAAGAAATAAGAACTTAACTAATGACTAACTAAAGAGATTTAGCTGAAGCTAACACAAATCTAACTAGTTGGCCCCTTAATACCAAATTAGCTAGCGAAGCTATTAAGGGCCAGTAATACGGCCTGGCGTAATAACAACTTAGAGAGACGTGGCCAAAAGGCAAACGCCCGCTAATCAGAAACTCTGGTCCTCTCTCTCGAGGTTAGTGGAACTTCGACTTAAATACTACTCTTCATTTGCCTTTAACGCTATTCTAAAAACACACTCTGGTAAGGAATTTGTAAGCGAAAATTAAGAGAGATAGGAAAGAAGCTTTAACTTAAAAATAACTGTTATAAACTTAGGATAAACCTTACGGGATTAATTAAACATATTACCCGACATTGAAAATGAAACACCAAGAAGGAGTAGCCCGAAAATTATGCAAATTTCTGGATAAACCCATGTCATCGAGTTATGCGAATGATGTAAAATGCGCAGCTCTCCAATACACATTGAAGATGATAAAGGAACCTGCAGAATGCTCAATTTTCGTGCTATCATTTCTGTTAGGAAAATGATCGTAGAAAATTGGTTTTTGTCTCAAAGGACGCGTATAATAGCAGAGAATGGCAGACCGTCGTCAACGGAGGCAATTCGAGTAGACAGATGATTTTACGAGGGGCATGGCAATCGGACTGAAAACGGCAGGTTGGTCCATACGGCAGATCTCAGCTGACACACACCCGGGCGCGTTCACAGTGCACAGGCTGTGGCGACAATGGTTGGAACAAGGAAATGTGCCAAGTTCCAGAGGTGCCGTAGCCACCAGAGTGACGTCAGCACGCGTGGATTGATGCATAGACAGACAAACTGTGGCCCACCCGCAAGCCACTTCTATCTCCATTCTGCAGCATGTTCAAGCTATCCTAGATGTTCCCTATCGACCGGAACCATTTGCCTTCGATTGGTGGCTAGTGGCCTGCACTCGTGGCGTCCTTTAAGAAGATTGCTATTGATCCCACGTCATAGACGCCAACGTCTGCAATGATGCCGGGCTCGAGCGATGTGGACAACGGAATGGCAGAAGGTGGGGTTCACGGATGAATCACGCTCCTGTTTTTCCAATGATGGTCGCCGTGTACGAGTGTAGCCTCGATGTGAGACAGGTCCAATCCGGCAGAAATTGTGGAAGGCCTCACTGCTTGACAACGCGGCGTCATGGTTTGGAGCGAAATTGCGTACGATTTCAGTTCATCTTTAATTCGTATTAAAGGTACTAAGACAACCAAACGATACGTGGATGATATTCTGCGGTCGGTGACACTCCCGTACCTTCAGGTAGTGCGCAGTGCCCTTTATCAGCAGGATAACGCCAGACCACACACTGCTCGTATCAGCCAACGTACTGTGCAAGGTATGCAGATGCTTTCATGCCAACCGTTTTCTCCTGATCTCTCATGAATCGAACACATTTGGGATGTGACTTTATGACTGGATGCCATTTGCAAACACTGCTATTGCCGCTTTCAGAAGACGAACTGTGGCAAGTGGTTGACAGGAAATGAAGAGCCATTTCTCAAGACACCATCCGTAGTCTCATTGACTCTGTAGCTAGACCATGTGTGTCGCTTCGTGTATCGTCGTCCGAGGTAGTCCTACAACCTACTGAGCCGACTTTGTTCTTGCTCTGTATTATGCATATCATTTCGAAATAAAGATCACTTATTGTTCGTTACTGTCTCTCTCTGTTTGCCGAGTTTCATCACTTTCTGGCCACTCCTTCTTGGTGTTTCATATTCAATGTCGGGTAGATTGAATGCTAATACTAATTGTTCCAGAAGATAAAGTAAATCTTACTCTTAAAAATAGTAAAAATCAATTCAAAAGTAATTTTTGTTTTAATAACAACTTGCTTCAAAAATTCATTATTGAAAGTGAAATTAAAGAGGATTATATTAAAAGAGACATATCCGTTTGGTAAGATAACCCGAGGTATAAAATTAAGTAAAAGGTATAGAGAAAGAATGTTGTAATCTATATTTTATTGTACAAATTTACATTAGATTTCATTTTGTATGCAGACGCATGAGTGTATACAAGAAATAGAAAAACATTTCGCTCGAAGTTAATCTTCTCTCATTTGAATTTAAATTTTCTTTTAAATAGTTTGAACTGATATGATGAAAAATTTCTATAGATATTAGAAAGCTGTGTATCTCCGCTTTCATAGTTTTTGGAAAAACTTTATTTCTCACTGAACTTTTGTTCCCAACTATTTTCCTATTTATCTTCATTACTTCTTCTGTTAATTAATTTGCCTACATAACAACAGAGTCTTAATTGATATTTTAAGTGCTCTTCTGCATCTTAAAGGGTATTGTTCAGTAACCTTTAAGTTTAAATCATTCTAATGTGAACTAATATGAACCTAGGATTGGTTACGATCAGGAAACAAGGCGATGACTGCATTTGCATAATCTTGCACCACGTGTTTCGAAGATTTCGATGGCTCTTCTTTAACTCCTCATTTTTTATCAAAATAAATTTCTCGCAAATAAGAAAAGACCACAAACTCTCTGTTGATTAAAAAATTATATTTTCCAATTTTTACTGCCAAAAATATCTTTAAAAACCTTTTCAATTGGCGAATTAATTTCTTGGAGGCTTCCTGAAAATAAAAACATACCTACTTTGATTTAGTGATATGAATTCCAACTTTTACTTTCCAGGCAGCTTAATTCTTAAATTTTTCTCATTTCTTTTTTCTTCAATAAATAGCATTAAGTGTTCCGTTTCCTGTCGTTATAAATCTCTGTACTGCAGCCTCTTTTTCGCATACTGTATTGCTTAGTTTCTTTACCCATACAGTGCGTGCCTCTGTTACTTATTAACAGCCGAAAAGAAGTATCATTTAAAACTTAACTTCGAAACATAATCTGTTGGAATATATATTTTATGTCAATGGAAGCACCTGACATTTTTTTAACTGCCCGCGTAGCACTGAAAATTCCTTGGGATATTCCGAAGATATTACTCACGGGGCAAGCTCATATCCCCACGATATACGGACATCCTTAAACTTTCAACGCATCTTTCTGAATGCTTAATATTATAGCTTAGGATCCTCAGAATATTTTACATCCTTACGATAGTGTACGGGAGACTGTGGAGATTTAAAGTTTTATTTGCCTCATCCCTCAAGACACTCGCAATATCCGCTTAATGTCCGAAACACATTTTGATGAGTGCCTGTTGTCATAGTCCTATGTTTCCCTGGACATCCAGAGCATCAGCAGAAAACATAAATCGCTGGAAAAGAATAAACACCCTTAGAATATATGACGACGAAAGTTCCCCCTAAAAATGCAGTTGAATATTCCCAGGATGCTAAATGACGAAGTCCTGGAAACATCTGAAATTCAAGAATTTCAGAACAACTTTGTATATCTGCCGAAACGGGGACTTAAACCTGATATTCTTGAAATTTTAAATTATGAAGTCCTTCGAACATTTGGCAATCAACATCTTCAAGACAATTTCGCGCATGCAGACACTCAGCGAGTTAAACAAGACTTCCTTGAGCTGCTAAATGAAAAAATCTGCAAAGCATATAAAAATCAGGACAACTTCTCGTATGTAGAATACACAGAGACTTAAATAAGACATCCGCAAAATGTTAAATCCCGAAGTCCTCAGGACATCGAAGAATTAACTTTAGGGTAATTTCTCTCGTACCTAGCTCCACCTTTAGATTTTAAATTCGGAATTCTTAAGATGTGAGAATCAACTTATTGCGGACAACTTCGTGTATCTAGGAAACTGGTGATTTAAAATAGATATCATCGACATCTAGATATTAAATTACGAATCCTTAGGATATCCGAGAACGAAGATCCTCAGTAGATCCTGGAACATTGTGACTTAAATATGACATCCTAAGAATATCCTGTGTTACTGCCATTTATTCAGTTGTTTGTTGGTTTAATATATGTTTTACAGATTTAAATTTTAATAAGGACTTTTCATTAATTTCTAAGAATAACCTAATGGTAAAAAACAGAAAATAACAAGTCAGAATTAATCGGAATTAATGCTCAGCGGAAACGTGAGGTGTGTGCGTTATTTATGAGTATTGAAAATTCCGTACAAAATATTGCAGCAAAAACATCGCGGACGAAAACCTCGAGGAGAAAACAACGCAAGGCGAAAACGTTTTCGCACAAAACATCGTGGGAAAAAAGAGAGTAAGGAAAAAACATTGCAAGTCTAAGACATCGCGGTATAAAACATCCTTGTCGAAAGTAAAGCAGTTAAAAAACATCGCAGTTTCAAAATACCGTGGTAAAAAATAGAGCATCTCCACATCATCGCATGACGATAACATCACAGATATATTGTTGCATGCGTACGGGTTCATAATAGACTGAATGCACAGGTCCGATGAAAACTTAATAAAATTTATTCTTACCACAAGAAAAATAACAAAACGCTGAATTTTTCCTCAAAGATATTCGTACAATATCACAATATCCCGCAGTAGTTATATTTTAAACTAATAAAAAGTTAAATAGAATGCTATCCAAAGCGCAGAGAAAGGTAAGCCGATCTCACCGTGAATTCACTGCAATCAACAACAACGATTAAGTAAGCAACTGGAACTGAGATGTTTCTCTCCGGCTTTTTAAAGCTTTTTAATCGGTCACGAGAAAGTTC